CCCTTGTATTTCCTTGGGTGAGAAGAAAAAGGAAACCTTTTATGCTTAAGAAAAAAATTAGCTCTCAAGCAGCTGTTACTATTTATCTCAGCAGTAATATTTCACAATGACAATTTATCCCATCAGTAATATTTCATTACCACACATCTAAGGATTGCTCATCTTTGTTCTTACATTCCTATTTACTTAAGACTTTCTTGAAATGAAAAGGGGACATGGACACAGATGAAGAACAGACGAAGAATGTTCACCTATATCAACTCCCATGAGGGCCTGGCAAGATGGCCTACTAATTCCTCGCTTCTCATGCCCCAGGATCCCACATGGAAACCAGTTCACATCCCAGCTGCTCCATTTCCCTTCCAGCTCCATGCTTGTGGGTTGGAAAAGCAGCAGAGCACGACCAAAAGCCTTTGGACTCCGCACCCAGATGGGAAAATTGGAAGAAGCTCCTGTTCTTGGCTCCAGATTAGCTCAGCCCTGGCCATTGTGGCCACCTGGGGAGTGAATCAGTGGATGTAAGATCTTTGTCTTTCTCTGTAAATCTGCCTCTCCAATAAACAAATATATATTTTTTTAAAAAATCAGTTACCATTAATACTCTCCTTACCCTCTAACAGATTACTTAGGAATAATCAGCTAACAATACTCCATCAAATGAGTTTATTTGAATAATCTAGGCACGATAATGGTAAGTATCCTAATTAATGACAATCTAAATGAATAATATTATGAGACACTACTGGGGTGGGCTTTTGTACTAGCACTTAAGACATAGGTTAAGGAGTAAACATTTGGCACAATGCTTAAGACATCGATTGGGGCATCCCCTAAAGACCCAATTTGGCTGACTTCCAGCTTCCTCTCCTGCACACTCTGGGAGGCAGCATATAAAAGTACTAGATTCCTTACAGCTGAACTGGGTTCTTGAGTCCTGGTTTTGACCTGGCCCAACCCTGACTGCTGTAGACATTTGGGAGTGTACCATAGGACAGAAGTTCATGCCCTCTGCCTTTCAAATGAAATAAGAACAATTATTTAAAAATCAGCAACAAAACGATATAGATTCAGTTGCCTATGTCCCATATAACATAGTGCCTGGGTTCAACACTCTGGCTCTAACTCCAATTTTCCAGAAAATGCAAATTGTAGGAAGCAATAGTGATGACTCAAGCCATGGAGCTGGTACCACCCATGTGGGAGAGCTGGATGGAGTTTTCCAGCATCCACCTGACTAGTTCTGACCATCAGGGACATTAATGGAGTGAACCAGCAGATGGGAGAGTAGTCACACCCTACCCACACTCTCTTTCAATCACAAATGAGGGAAAAAATAATACTTCCTGAGCTTTACCAAAAGTATTTTTTTAAAAAAAGCAACAAATTCTGTAAACAGGCCTAAGCTTTCAACTACTTTTTAATAAGTGAAAAAAAACCAAGTCAAACAGATGAAGTAACTCTTGATGCATCAAAGAACCAGACACTATGCTAAAAGAAACACAACTGCCTACTACAAAATTTATTTACCAAAGAAAAACAAATTATCAATTATTCAAACATTGTTTATCAACCGAAAAGTCATGCAAACACAGAAAGTTTATCAGATGATAAGATGAATAAAGCCTAATGTCCACCCTAAATGAGTTGACGGTATAGCAAGGAAGAAAAACTTGTAACTTAAAAAGCACCACAGGAAAATTATCACTGAAATAGAAAGAGGAAAGACAGAATAATTAACTACTTTGGAAATTGACCATAAAACTGAATTGTTTCATACATATTAGTTCCTTCAATATTATTGTAAGAATTTTAAATGTATTTCCTATGTGAAATAGAGAACTTAAATTTCTACTAGTTCCAAGCCACCACCATAAAACCAATTATTATAAAATGGAAGCACTTTGTTTCATGGGCATCTATTTAAAATCCATCTTCTGTACACGTTTTCCACAACATTTCTAAATGTCTACACTATGCATTTCCAAACGGCCTTCCTTAGTTTTTCTCTAGGTTTTCTAAATTAGTCTGATCATTAAAAACTTATTCTACTTTGCCTAATTTCATTGTTATGATTAATGAAGTAGTTTCCTGAAAGTATTTTGTGTATTTTCATTATATTCTTCACTCCTTACCTGAAAACACTAAATTGAAAGGTTTATAATCATACAAACCCACAAAGTTCTAAGATCCTGAGAAACAGCAAATCAAGATGTATGCATAAAATTCAATGCCCACCATTATCAATATATAGTATTTCCTTGGTATTTAAATTTTTTAGAACAATTTAAAATAACAGAATATCATAAAATCCTGTGTAAAATCTTACATGTACTAGACGGTAATGTCCAGCCTGTGGTCCACATAAGGACTATAAAGCCATCTGATGTGGCCCTTTCAGGGCAACTGCATACAGGACCCAAATTCGATAAATCTATGGCAGGTTCATGTTTAAGCTGATGATTTTATATATCCAAATGGCCCTTAGCAGAAAAAGGGTTCCTAATGAAAGTTACCCAGAGTTTCACAAATTTTAGATATAGAGCAAAGCAGCAACTGAATGGAGGAATAACAAACACAGAAGTATGAGAACACCATATGAGAATCCTTAAGTATTTAACAGGGCATAGGGTAGGGGCAGCAGGAATGGGGAATAACTGTCAAAAGGAGTCAGAGGAGCCAACTCTGTGGCACAGAAACTAGGCTGCTTCTCTAACACGGGTTCCCACAGCAGGGCTCAGGACCCAGTCACCACTGAGCCAGTTCAGATCCAGCTTCCTGTTAACACATGGAGGAAGACAGCAGACAGGCCAAAGACTGGGACCTGTTACTCCCACGCGTTAGACTGGTACAGAGTTCCAGACTCCTGACTTTGGCCTGGAGCAGATCTGATGGCTACAGTCATTTGTGAAGAGAACCAGTGAATGGAAGATCTCGCTCTTGCTTCCTGTCAAGCTGCCTTTCAAAACAATAAACGAGTGTTAGGAAAGGGAAAAAACAAACAGCAAAAAGTAAAGAAAAGAGGAAAACTGAAAAGACCTAAATTAAACAAATGCAGACTGAGTCAGCAATTTCTTCATGCTACTATGTACATTATACTTTATGATGAAACACCGAAGGTTTCTTCTGTAAGATAAGGAAGAAAAGGATGTGTTTTCATCGTGTCAAGTTCAGCACTACACTGTAGCTATGTTTACGGAGAAATGAGGAACTTTTCATTGGGTAGCCTAATGGCTACAGAATTTCCATTTTACAACACACACAATTATGTCTTGTATATTTTACCACTTTTTAAAAAGCTAATGTTTGCCAATAAAAAAGAGAGATCACTGGCAGGCTAAGTATTATTCATATCATTCACTGGGAGTCTATCCCTAGACTCGTCCCGAGATGGACTTTTAGGGAAGTCAGTAAATCATCAGTCACGAAAAGCCCATTCCATAACAGAATACATGGTTCAAGTCTCAGCTCCTATGCTTCCCTTGCAGCTCCATGCTTATGTATGCCCTCTCAAGTACTTGACTCCCCACCACAAACTTGAGAGACTAGAACGGAGGAACAAACTCCTGGCTTCAGTCTGGACTAACCCTGCTGCAGGCATCTGGGGGGTCTTTCGCTGCATTTCAAATAAATAAATTATGTGTGTGTGTGTGTATGTGTGTGTGTGTTCAGTCCTTTAAAATCTAAAAATAAAAAAACTCAAATCCAAGGAATAGGCATTTAACTGTGTGGTCAAGATGCCCATGTCCTACATTAGAACGCATCTTGCTTTGGGCTCTCCTGATTCCAGTAATTCTGCCAGTGCAGACCCTGGCAAGTTGCTGTGATGGCTCAAGTGACTGGGCTCCAGCCATTCACGGAGGAGATCTGGACTAAGTTCCAGCCCCTGGTACTGCCCTGTTGTATCACCTATTGTAGGCATCAGGAAAATTAACCTGTAGATGGAAGCAGTATTACTGCTGGCCCTCTACCAATGAATAAAAAGTTAATTAAAATAGAAGCAAACAAAAAATTAAATCTTTTACTTATTTATCCTGAGTAAGAAAACAGAGTGTCTGGCTATACTATCTATAGAATTCTCTCTTAAACACAACATTGAGCAGCTGGTACTGTATGGCACTCCACCTGTGATGCAGGCATTCAATCTGAACAATGGTTTCAGTTCTGGCTGCTCCAGTTTCTTGAAAAATGTGCCTGGGAAGGCAGAAGTTGATGGCTCAAGTCCTTAGGCCCTGTCACCCATGCGGGATATTCAGATGGAATTCTGGGCCCCTTGGCTTTGCCTGGCCCCACCCTGGCAGTAAACCCCAAATACAATGCAAGCCAACTACAAATTCAACTATTGTAGCAAAATTTCTGAACATTCAAAGATTTTAAAAGGTTCTTAGGGAACTAAAGAAATGCTAAGCCATTTTTGCAAAATGCTTTCATTATAATTACACGGCAAAAGAGTGCTAAAACCTGTTTTACATGTTGATTTCACACTACAATCCAGAAAAGATACTATTCCAATTTAAAAAAAAAAACTCATCCCAAACAAGAAGCACTTTACAAGGCTCTCTTTCATCTATTCACTATGGTACATGGCTGGAATATTCCATACATTAATAAATCAAAATCCTAAAAATTAAAATTTACATTATGAATTGTGGTTTTGCAGTAAATGACTAATAAACGTGCCAATTAGCAACTATAATGGCAAGAAACAGCTCAGAATTAGAAAAGATATTTTAAAATTACAATTACTTTCAGAAACTTTGAATAACACTTTTATCATTTTTCCCCTCAGAAAGACAGTAGAATATAAAATGAGGAAGTCAAATGACCAGTCATCCTCTTGCAGGCAAACTCCAAGCAGTTTTCACTAAGGTGCTAAATAACTGACTCAAGGTAGTGCTGGATCTCATTTGTCAACAGAGCATGCAAGTTTTCAATTAAAATTCCCTACCAAAGGCAACCTCTGTAAGAAATGAACCACCAGAGAAGAGTCTAATAAAACTTACCATTATGTATTGCATTCAGCAACTCTGAGAAAGCTTTCAAGTAAGGAAAAAAGGACTTCAGGTTAAGATCATTCTCAAATACACAAGAAATACACAGGCATAGAATGCATCAGTATTAATAAAATATAGTAAATCAATCATGTATCATAGCTTTGGTTACTAAAACTGCAAGCACGACTCTCAATTTTTACATGATATAAATTTCTAACTAGTGTGTTCCATTTACCAATATATTACTAAACTGAGAAAATGTTAGCTACATTGTCGTAAGTAATGACAATAATTTTCTTAGTGATACACATTTTAAAAATCACCGTTAAAAAGACATTTAACAATCTAGCTGGATAATGTGTTGGTAAAAGTCTCTATCGGATGCATTTCTATAAAAGTGTATCTTGCTTTAGTGCACATTCAACAGTATTATGGAGAAAAACCTCATTATACAATCTAACCCTATCAAACATCCTCATTGCTCAGATATCAGTGTAATCAAGTCTCAATATATGCAGAGCTTTAAGCAAGAAAGCTACCTTGCCTAATGCCAATATACAAGGACTGAAAAATTATATTACTGTTAAAATGAATGGAAACTAAAATACTGAAAATATTATTTCATTGAAGAGCCAAAGTCATAATTTTGCAATAGAAGCAGAATTTAATAATAGCCAACAATCAAAATTCAACTGCATACACTTCAACTGTATAGCAGATCTAGAACATAAGACAAAGCAGTATGTTAATACAACTTTGTAGACCAAAATGTCTACAATTAAGGCCCAATTACATTTTTGAAAATAGATGTAACAAGCCAGGGGTGACCTAATGTACTAGAAAAAGCACTAGAGTAACAGTCAAAAAGTTTGGGTTATCCACCCAGTTTTCACAACTTACTAGTTGTTGGACAAGCTCCATCGTGCCGATACTGCATAGAAATCTCTGTTGGGAGGGAGGAGAGAAAGGAAATCAGCAAAGAAATTTCCAGTGATTTAAAGGTAGAAAAACAAATGCACAAAAAAAAAAAAAGAGGAAAATTCACCTGAAAGTCTTAAGTAGGTCAAACACAACCACAAAACACAAAGTATAAGCTAATAGTTGGGATTTGAGGGGTTGGCGAGGAAAATGCTTTGTAATTCTCACAGGCTAGTGTGGGAACTGTGAACACGATACTACAGAACAAAACAGACTCTGCCCCAGAGTCTGAGAATAAATGGCTTTATTCAAGGGGGCAATGTAAATTACATCAACATATATAAGGTGATTATCAGTGTGCTGATATAGCACCAATGTGAATATACCAATGTGTTTTACTCAAATTTATCAGACTGGAAGAGTTCATTTAAAACATTTGAACATATGCTCAAAACGGAGTTTTTGTGCTTTATGTTAATTATCTTAGTTATATGAGTATAAAAACATGACTTAAACAGTGTAAAACTCAAGAAACAAAATCAGCTTATAGTTTTACATGTTCCATTTCAAAAAAACAGTAAGTACTCTTCCTTTTTTATGCCACCCAAAAGAAGTTGCCAAACATGACCTGAAGCAATAAACACTGATAAAAGCAAAAGCTCTCAGATATAGGAAACGCACTTTTTAAAGGTTTATCTTTAATTGAAAGGCAGATTCTACTGAGAGAGAGGGAAAGACAGTGATCTTCCATTTGCTGGTTCAGTCCCCAAATGCCACAATGCCAAAAAGGATCCGGTATGCGGCTAGGAGTCAGGAGCTTCTTCCCAGTCTCCCACACTGGTGCAGGGGCCAAGGGCCTAGGCCATCCTTCACTGCTTTCCCAGGCACATTAGCAGGAAACAGAGTAGCAAGTGTTGCAGCCAGAGCATAAACTGGTGCTCATATGGAATGCTGGCACTGTGGGCTGAAGCTTAATTACACCATGTCACTAGCCATGGGAACACATTTCTACACAGCATTTAAAGGGAAAAATAATGGACAATGTTGCAATTCAAAAGATCTCATTTGTCAGTCCTGAAAATGGCTATATTCCTTTTGTCAAAAACAATGAGACAAAAATTCTTGAAGAGGGACAGCTCAGAACTCTGGATAGTATGCAAACAAAAACATGGCCCCAGGCATCACGTGTATAGAACCTCACAGGAAACCACCATTCACACATATGACCACGTTTCTCAGACTTGATGCAAACCACAGGTCCACCTGGAGTAACTTAAGTTAAGAAGGAAAACAAATGCAAGGAACAGCAAGCCAATATTGACTTTAACGTCAAAAGGGTGTTACATTAGAAACAAAAATACAAAACTTTAGTCTGATCCAGAAAAATGTGAAAATGATGTAGACTTTGGTGTTAAATCCTTTTCACACAACACATGAAAATGAGGCATTAGGCTAACTACCTTAACGTCTCAGTGGTAAAACTAATTATCTGTAAGGTTGTAGGGATTGCTAAAGAAAGTGACACGGTACAATATAAAGAAGTGTCAGTTCTCTGGAATGGTGCTGAAAAATAATCAATGAATATTCATACTAGCAAAAGAATTTAATCAATAGAGATACAATTGGAATATGTCTCTTCTGTCCTATGATCTGGCACTTAAATAGAAAGATAATCAAATGCTCAAATCATCAAAGACCAAAACAGAATCAAGAGAATTCCTGGGTATATCCTAGTCTCAGTTGTACATAATGTTCTATTTTTCATTCATGACCAAATGTAATCAAGATGTCTAAAGCCATGAGCCTAGATAAAGATAAATTTGAGTTCTGCTCACTGAATCATCTATTTTCTTAAAGATTTGTTCATTTTTGTTGGAAAGGCAGATTTTCAGAGAGGAGGAGAGACAGGAAGATCTTCCATCCGATGATTCACTCCCCAAATGGCTACAATGACTGGAGAGCTGTGCCAATCCAAAGCCAGGAGCCTGGAGCCTCTTCCAGGTCTCCCATACCGGTGCAGTGTCCCCAGACTTTGGGCTGTCCTTGACTGCATTCCCAGGCCACAAGCAGGGAGCTGGATGGGAAGCGGGACTGCCAGTATTAGAACCAGCGCCCATATGGGATATCCCGGTGCATTCAAGGAGAGGACCTTAACCACTACGCTATCGTGCCGGGTTGCATCTATTCTTTAATCTACAATGTCTTGTCATTTACTGTTCAGAGTTTATGAGGCAAATATACATATCTTAATGAAGCCTTTGTTTACCGATCATTAGTCGCTAATGAAACTATCTTACCAGGAAAACATTTCTTAGTTTCATTTACCAATCTAAACAATGATATTTTTATAAATGAAGATATGTTTAAGAAGATTTCACACTGTTATGATGACTCAAGTTGAAATTTCATAACCTTCACATTTGAGAAGCCAGAAAAAAGTTCTCCTCAAGGGTTCTAATCATATTAACAATTAGTTTCTATGAAATCAATCACAACAAAATGAGCTTTTGAAAATCATGTTTTGCACCATTTAGTACCAGTAAAGAATTTCAGCAAGGAAATCAAAGTCAAGTATCTTGCCTCAGAAAGAGGTACAGCAGCAACTGAGACAGGAGTTTGTTACCACATACTTTGAAAGGACTTATTTTTCTCAGAGAAAATAACAAGAAGTTGATTTGTGACAAAAAAAAATTTCACCTTACACGTTATGAATTTTTGTAGTTCAACAAAAGCACATCAACTTTTCCAAATGCAACAGTATCATTTTTCAGTGTTTTTAAACACTAGGTACTAATTGTTCAGATTTCCAGAAAATACTTACAGGAAAGGAAATTTAACTAAAAGTTTAAATATCATAAGTCAAAGACCTAAAACTCTTAGCCATCAATGAAAACAACATGCTAATTTTCCACTTCACACATGTCAGTGTAAAATGGTAGGCCATTTATTAGAATGTAGTTCGAATTTAAAGCAAAACAACAACAACAAAAAAAAAAAACTTACACTTCTTACTCTCAAAAAAAATTTTATTTTTATTTGATAATAAAACAGGAGAAACACAGAAGGATCTTCCATCTGCTGACTCATTCTCCAAATGGCCTCAGTGGAGCTGGGCTCTTCCTAAAGCCAAGAGCCTAGAACTTCTTCTGGATCTCCTACATGCAGACAGGAGCCCAAGGAACATCACCTGCTGTTTTCCCAGGTGCAAAAGCAAGGCGCTGCATCAGAATTGGACAGCTGGGACATCGTTAATAACATACTGGATGCTGGTGCTGCCATGCAGACTGAACCGCCTATGGCCAGCGTGCCAGCATCGTAGTTCCAACTATTGAGCTCTCAGGAATTTTCTGGATGCCTATTCAGATTTGAATGCTAATATAAATATCCACACTCTACTACAAATTGAAGAGATCATGAAAGAATTTTAATTATTGCTAAAACTCATGCTTTTGACTAATAATTTCAAGAAATAATCATTAAAATGTTTCTACTTTTGCTTTATGTTCTGTAGTAAAACACAAATAGTAATAATTAAAACAATCCCAGCAGCTACTACTGTCCTGCCTAATTCAAAAGGCTATTCCACCAATGAAAATCCTTAAAAATGTAACTCCCATAATTAATCCACAGTACTAATGTTAACAGAATGATCACTTAGCCTCTTAGTTTGATTCCTTTGACCTTGCATTCAATTCTCCATCCTAACTTTATTTTCTCATCAGTGTCGCCAACTATGGTGCAAAAACAGCTTCTTGCTTCTCTTATTCACCAAACACATCTTTTGCAACTTAATCATACTTCTCTCGACGGCCAGCGCTGTCACAAAGCACATAAAGCCACTGCCTGAAGTGTTGACATACCATATGGGTACTAGTTGAGTCTACTCCACTTCTAATCCAGCTCCCTGCTGACATGCCTGGGAAAGCAGCAGAGGATGGCTCCAGCACTTAGGCCCCTGCACCTACAAGGGAAGCCCTAGTGGAAAATCCTGCCTCCTGACTTCAGATTGGCCCACCTCCAGCCATTTAGGGAGTGAATTCACATATGAGCTCTCACGCTCTCCAACTCTGCCTTAAAATAAACAAACAAACCTCAATACTTCACATGCCAAGCTGGCCCATAATACAAATGATAAGCTTTACAAACAAAATAATTTGACTTATAGCCCACTTACAAACAAAAGAAAAATGGCACAAGATTATACAAATCAAAAATATAACATCAGTGATTATTAACAGCACTCATTTCAAAAGAAACATTCAGCATTCATTAAGTGCAAAGCACTGCCGTACTGGCAGTGAGAATATAGCAGTGAACATCACAAACAGCTACTAATCCCATGGGGTTTATGAAAGCGCATGTGAGAGTGGGACATCGTGGCTAACAGATCACATTCACCATTACTAAAGTATCAAGATGACATTAAAGCTGATCTTTAAAAAAAAAAAAACATAATCATTGAGGATGCATAGCCTATATTTTCTCCTTTACTTTTCAGGGATTGGGGTGTTCTACTAATGTCACAAATATGATTTCAGGCTAGGAACAATAGCTTAATTGGCTAATGCTCCATTTCCAAGTGCCAAGATCCCATATGGGCACTGGTTCGTAACCCAGATGCTCCACTTTCCATCCAGCTCCCTGCTTATAGCCTGGGAAAACAGCAAAGGATGGCCCACAGCCTTAGGACCCTGCACCCATGTGTAAGACCCAGAAGAAGCTCCTAGCTTCTAGCTTCAGACTGGCTCAGTTTGGGCCACTGCAGCCATTTGGAGAGTAAACCAGTGGATGGAAGATTTTTCTCTCAGTAACTCATTCTCTCCATAAATTTGCCTTTTCAATAAAAGTCAATAAATCTTTGTTTGAAAAAAAAAAAAAGATACCTGGTGGCCCAGCACAGTAGCCTAGTGGTTAGAGTCCTCATCTTGCACGCCCGGGATCCCATATGGGCACCGATTCTAATCCCAGCAGCCCACTTCCCATCCAGCTCCCTACTTGTGGCCTGGGAAAGCAGTTAAGGATAGCCCAAAGCCTGGGGACACTGTGTCTATGCAGGAGACCTGGAAGAGGCTCCGGGCTCCTGGCTTTGGATCATCTCAGTTTCAGCCATTGTGGCCATTTGGGGAGTGAATCATTGGACAGAAGATCTTCCTCTCTGTATACCTGATTTTCTAATAAAAATAAAATAAACCTGCTTTCCCAGGCCACAAGCAGGGAGCTGCATGGGAAGCGGGGCTGCCAGGATTAAAACCATCACCCATATGGGATCCCGGCATATGCAAGGTAAGAACTTTATCCAGTAGGCTAAAACGCCGGGCCCTCTTCTTTTTAAAAACTTCTTTGATTTATTAAATAATTGTTTTCCAAATTAAATAAATAAATCTAAAATAAATAAAAGCAATCCTCACCAGAAGTAATCTTACAGGATGAAACAGGGGGTGACGACAGGGCACTTGTGGCATCCAGTGGGTAGTCGCTGGAGATTCTGGTAAATATCCTACATACTCACTGCAGTACTGCACACAGTTATCCCACCCAAAATGTCAACAATGCCAAGACCGAGACAGACTATTCTGGAATCATCCTTAATGAAACCACAGTAATAAAATAACATTTCTATATAGAGTATTCTCATTTATTTTAAAAAGTATGCTAAAGAGTAGATACTGAAACTACCCAACAAAAAACAGGAACCCTTGGCTGTGTGTTTTTAGTGACTTACTTTTCCTCCCAAAAATCTTGGTTTTATTTGCTGTAAAATAGGTATATTAATAGCCTTCATTTATAAAACGGGTTTTTTTTAAAGTTCATGGAACACATATACTACGAAGTTTACACCTTTTTCAAGAAATATAAACTTATACTTAATTCTATTTTTCACAAACTTATTGAAGTACTCTAAGCTCACTGCTATAAGAAATAAAACATAGCACTAAATCAAACATAGCATATAACAAATGGTAGATGTACTTATAATTTCTCTCACATGCACTTCTCCCTCTTGTTCCTGTGTTCCCTAAGCAAAAGCAGTATATCTACAACTTAGATGCAAAATCTGCACTTATGAATTATATAGAATACAAATGCTTCACTAAGCTGCATTTTCCAAACTATTTCTTACTATTCTCCCCTCCAACTGAACAGAACTTATTTTTAATCCATAATACAATTTAGCTATAATTTCATTTCAACAACATTAAATTATCATTCAAAAATTATAAGATATCTTTATGGTTTTCAGTAAGAAAAAGTTAATGCTACTTATTAATTCAAAGTAAAACCATAGTTTAAAGCCTTTTGGAGTAGACAAAAAGAGACAACAATGGGAATGATGAAGAAAAATAACGGGTAAATCCCTACCTGAACCGATTGGAGATGAGCCAACACTAAGACTTTGTAAACTTCCATTCCTGAGCAAGGTAGGCGATTTCTGAAGGCCAGAACTTGCTATACTTCCTGCAGCTGATGCTACAGATGATGTTGGTGACGCAGAAGAAACTGAGAGATGAGAAACATTTTCTTGATTTTTGTTTCCTTTGGGTCTACCAGGCCCATGCTTACTTTGTTTATTTCCTTTTCTTTTCTTTTCCTTGACAGCTTCTTCTTCTATGCCAGAAGTCTGAGCCCGTTTATATCCTGCTGTGGGCAGGCTGGAACCGCCCAAATCTCCAGGTGAATTTTCAAAGCTTTTAGGCTGAGCTGTAACAGCTGATGTGGACGGGAGACCAATTAAGGAGCTGTAACTATTTACCCCCGCCTCCTGGCTTCCAGACTCCCCTTTATGGACATCTTTGGTTGACGATGACTGTTGGGTGTGAGTGTAACTGTCATTACGCAGATCTGTGTCTGTAAAGTTCAAGAAATCCTGGGGAGACTGCACAGAACTCCCCGAAGATGATTTGACACTGCCTGGAGTTCCTGAAAAATTCCCTGTAGTTTAAAAAAAAGGGGGCGGGGGAGGAGGAAATGAAAAAAAAAGAAAATTGGATGCAAAAGTTCCTATAAGCACTAATTAATCTCTCTTGCAATGACCATCAGGGTCGCCCCAGAGCCCCGCCCAAAACAAAACAAACAACAAAAAATTAGAATAGACAGAGAACAACAAGGAAAGCTTAGAACTAGACAGGAAACGATCAGTGGGGACTCACACATACCTTACTAGGTAGGACACGAAAATAAATTACTGCTAACTAGGGCATGGAGGATTTCTCTGCACACCCCTCCCAACAGTGTTCTGTGCTTCAACTGGTGACATATGCCTTGTTAAAGCTATAAGCCAGTTTAGACTATCCTAAAATCTGCCAAGTTCAGTAAAAATTATGCTTCAACACAATAAACTGCTAAATACTAAAATGAAAATAGACACGAGACAGCTGAATAGCATCCTATAGCCATTTTAAGGTAGATAGAAGCCAGTTGTATACAAATTAAAATTGAAATGTTAATGAAGTAGTCACAGGATGTGGTTAAGAACCTGCATTTTCTAACAGATCAGTCACTCAATACAATGTCAATTAACCCCATAATGTTGAAAACTGTTGTTGATGTTATGTTATGGCTTTTAATTGGTCGGAATGATATTCTGTCAGCTATGCCTTTAGACCAGAGTTGGTTTCCCCAAGAAACTGTTGAATTGAGCTGGACAATAAGATGCTGGACTCTATGCATGACACATGCTTGCAATGAAAGAAACAAGACTGGATTTGAACTGTAATACTGCAATAAGGTGGAGCAATCCACCATGAGGGGAGGGCACGGGGAGGAGATGGGAGAACATCAGAGCCAATGAAACGATGTTATAAAATGAAATGCAATAAAAAAAAAAGATAGTATGAAATTGTAAAAACACAGGACATCATCAAAAAACAAACCTAGATGCCAAAAACTAAATTATTACTAAACAAAGTCCCTCTCTGAAGTTACCTTCAAAAACAGTTTTCATTTTATAGGCACTATTGAATATTTACCCTTGAGTTGCAAGCTATTATGTTCACAAATACTAAGATCTAACCTACTTTATTTAACCTACTTTGTACCATAACCATATTTTTCAGGTCTCCCCTAAACACCCTGTGTTATGCTTACGGAAGGACTGAAGAACAGCAAAGTATTCCACACTCACGCAAGATTCTAGCAAAACTAAAATTTAAGTCTGAAAATCTAGGAAAACTTCCTTTTCAAATATATGATAGATTACTGATTGTTATTATTCAATCTAACCCAACAAAACATTACTTGGCTAAAATCATCATCACATGTAACCTAATCCATACCTTACATTCTCCCAGTCCATGTTCTATGGAGCTCTATTGCATAACTAGCCACTAACATTCTGCTGTATTATGAAACCAAAATCAGGAGGCAGCTTCCATTATTTTTTTCCCACAACTACTTATTCTTTTCTGATTCTTTAGTCAAAGAAAATTTGTAGACCACTGTATCATGTGAAATGTGAAGAATCTGAAGGTTCTTATCTGTCTAGTTCAAAATTAACAGGACCTGGGATAAAGCAATAGTTTGTTCACCGCTTGATTTCACCAAAACCTCTTCATGTTTGTCAAATGAAACAAGTTGTCTAGCCTCAGCTGCAACCACACATGCCCAACACTTCATAAAACCAAATCACATCATATCTGGAAATAAAATAGTTGGAAATAAATGCCCAAAATAAAGCATCTTATTGAAGTAGAAAGGAAATTTCAAGCTAAGTGCTAAATTTTGTTACAGACCATCTTCACTGGAAATCACATATAAGTCCACTTAAGTATTTAAGTTTTTTTATCTTTCATACAAGATAACTTTCTAATTGAAATGTAAAGGCTTTAAATTTAAATTCCAACCTCTTCTGAAACAGCCTATTAATAAGCAACATTAGTAGTTCTAAAACCTAACTCAAGAACACATTTTATTAATTAATAAACTAGCTATATTTAAGTAAAAATTTTCAGGCTATGTGTACATAGAAAAACATATTCAGAAGCCATTTGTGGTACATCAGTCATTTAAGAGTAACTGTGATTGCCATGCAAGTAACGGATAAAAAGATCTTTAGTCCTCATTCTAATTTTTCATCTGTTTTTCACCTATAGTTTTTGTTTGCTTTTATAGCTGGTTATTAAAAGATTGCTACACCACTGCAAAACTTAAATATTTCGTAAAGTTTGACATATATGTTCTAAAATTCACTGATTACTATACTTTTAAGATATTTAGGATATGTAAAAATTTTCGATGCACACTTCCTAAAATTCACATACTTCCTGCTAAGGAAAAATGCAACAAAAATGTCAACTTGTAAAAATGTTTACAGAATATTTTTTCAGAAAATCATTAGCATATTTTCTACCATGTCTTGGCAGAGGCCAAAAAGAATTGTGAAGCGTTTTGAAGTTCAAGAGAATGACAGATCTTTTTTCGGAATAGATGTTAACTGAATTCTGCTAATATATGCAAAATGTGAATGAAGTTACATTAAAGGTTACTTTATTCCCTGTGTATAAAGTGGTATGAAAATAACAAATGTCAACTTAAGAAATATGAAACAGTAGATTTGGCATTTTATTTTCTAGTTGTCTAATATTTTATATGTAAGCACACTTCCACCAATGTGCAGAATCTTCAAGCCTCATTTAACTTTAACATACTTCCTAATGAGAGATCAGCAGATTCCAATCACATCCTTTTGGATCTGAGGTACAAATTTATTAACAGAATTTTTTAACAGGGTTCAGAAAAGGACAATCTACTACAGGAACTAACCATATAAACAATCTAAAACCATCCTTTAGCTGAAAGTAACAAAATAACTAATTTTAGAAAGCACAGCTACTATAGACCATCACAGGAACAAATCTTTTAAATAAAGCACGGTGCCTACCTTGCGGAAAGGGGCTAGCAGCGGACACAGCAGGCCCAGGGTTCCGGCCTCCAGGCTTTCTGCCCCGCTGACCTGAGTTGTGAGCTGAAGATTTCTTTCCTTTACTCTCTGATGTTCTAGTTTCAGTAACATCTTTTCCACCAGAGGTGTGTGCAGACACTTCCTGGAAATTTGCATTTGTAAACCGAGCTGTGGTATCTTCCAACCGCTTCAATGATCCGGATATCGAGTTGTTGCTAGTACTTGTATAAGTCTAACATTTTGAAGGAAAAAACAACTAGTTATTTTTGTTACAGGAAACAAATGACTAACACTAAACTTGGTAAGGTAAACATGAAAGTTTCCCTCCTTCCAATTTAAAAAATAAATCACAAAAAATACAGTTCTTTTAGAGCCTACCAGTATACCATATTTTTTTAAGGAATACAGATAATTTGTAGCATAGTCATTTCAAGATCAAATTTAAGAAGTTACAAAAAATGCATACACAAAAGGAACTAATGTCTCTAGCAATATCATTTCAATAATAACAGAGTTTAGTGCTCAATATAGAAAGGTGACAAATGCAATTAAGTGCCATAAAAAGGCATCCGGCATAATTAGGACAGTACTTCGGAAACTCAGATCCTGTATCACAGAGCCTAGGTTGGAGGCAACACAGGTGACATACTAAATAAACTACTTGCCACCAACAAGGGACCTCCATGTTTTGTCCCAGGCCTGACATCACCCTGGCTCCACCCTGGCTATTTTGCACATGTGAGGAAAGAAACCAGCAAACTGGTTTCTGTCAAATAAAATGAAAGTAAATGATCTTTTTATTTCATTTTATGACAGTTTCATAGGCTCTGGGATCCCCCCAACCCTCTCCCCATATTGGATTCCTCCATATTGTTACAGTAGTACAGTTCTTAACCAGTCATGATTCCTTCATTGTGGGCATGGACTATACAGAGAGTCCAGCATCTTATTGTCCAGATAAATTCAACAGTTTCATTGGGAAACCATCCCTGGTCCAAAAGTAGAGCTGGTAGAATATCAATAAATCATTTTTAAATGCATCTGTCCACAACTTTGAAAAAAGCAGGAACTAAGAATCACACATCCATTGAAGGACTATATATCCATGAGTTTGTAACATTCCAACTTAGCATAATGCAAGAATTTTGAAAGAATCTGAGTGAAGATGACTTTATATAAAGCTATTTATATGTAAAGCTATAAATGTGATACACTATTATCAATAAACTCAAGAACAAGAATCATATGATAGTCTTAACAGACGCAGAAAAAGCTTTTGACAAAATCCAACACGACTTCATGATAAAAACACTAAATAAAGCAGGCACAGAAGGAACAATCCATAACATAATTAAAGCAATATATGAAAAACCCAAGGCCAACATCATATTGAATGGGGAAAGACTGGACCTCTTTCCACTAAGATCTGGAACCAGACAAAGCGGTCCACTATCACCACTGCTCTTTAATATAGTTCTGGAAGTACTTCCAAATCCTATTAAACAAGAAATCAAAGGAATTCAAATGGGAAAGGAGGAAATCAAATTATCTATGCTTGCAGATGACATGATCCTATACATAGGAGAACCAGGAGACTCAATATAAAGGGACTGCTACAACTAATACAAGAGTTCAGAGAAGTGGCAGGGTATAAAATAAATGAAATCAATAGCTTTAGTGTATGCAAACAACCCCAAGGCTGAAGAACTAATTAGCATGGTGAAGAACTAACAGCAGAAAATGAAATACCTAGGAATAAGCCTAACAAAGGATGTGGAAGACCTAAAATATGAGGAAAACTACAAAACATTAAAACAAGAAAAAGACTTCAAAAATGGAGAAAAATACCTTGTCCCTGGATGAGCAGAGAAAACATCATCAAAATGGACATATTACCAAAAGCAATATATACATTCAACATGATTCCAATTAAAATACCAAGAACATACTTCACAGAACTGGAAAAAATGATGCAAAGGTTCACATGAAAACACAAACAACCACAAATAGCCAGAACTATCCTGAAGAATAAGAACCTAGCAGGACGCATCACAATCCCTGACCTCCAGACATATTCTAGGGCAATGGTGATCAAAATAGCCTGGTACTGCTACAGAAACAGAGAGGTAGATCAATGGAGGAAAAATAGAAAATCCAGAAGGGAACCCACTCATGCACAACTACCTAATCTTTGACAAGAAAACAGAAAACAATATGGGAAAAAGGGAAGGTATAAACCTACACTCAGAGACCATCAAACTTCTGGAAGAAAAACCTGGACATACTCTGCAAGACATAGGAGTGGGCAAAAACTTCCTAGAAAAAACCAAAAGCAAAAGAAGTCAAGACCAAAATAAACAAATGGGACTACATTAAGCTAAGAAGTTTCTGCACAACAAAGGAAACAATCAACGAAGGAAATAAGAAACCAACAGAATGGGAAAATTTTTTGCACACTACACAGTGTGCTAATTTCCAAAATATACAGAGACCTCCTGAGCAACAATAACATCAAAACAAACAAACCAGTCAAGAAATGGACCCAGGAAATGGACACTTTATAAAGGAGCAAATTTAAATGGCTAGCAAACACATGAAAAAATGGTCAAGTTCCTGGCAATAAGGGAAATTCAAATAAAAACACTGAGGTTCCACCTAACGCCTGAAAGAATCACCATACACAGAAAACTACCAACAACACCTGCTGGCGAGGTTGCGGAGAAAAGGGAACCCTACTCCACTGCTGGTGGGAATGCAGGCTAGTACAGCCACTATGGAAGTCAGCATGGAGAACACTTACGCAATTAAAATTCACCCACCATATGACCCAGAAATACCACTTCTAGGAATATACCCAAAAGACTTGTTATACGACAAAGCAACATGCACCCCAATCTTCACTGCAGCACCATCAACAATTGCAACAAGTTGGAAGCAACCTAAGTGCCCATCAACAGAGGACTGGATAAAGAAACTGTGGTTCATCTACACTATGGAATACTACTCGGCCATTAAAAAAATGAAATGCATTACTTTGCGGCCAAATGGGCCAAACTAGAGACCATAATGCTAAGGGAAATGAGCCAAACCCCTAAAGGTCAGATATTATATGTCAAATCTAGTGATATCAAATGTGAATCTTACCCTATATTATCAATGTTACTTCATACTTACTTGTACCTAATGTAACAAGAACTTGTGATGTAATTCATTAATTAACCATCCACAAGAGGTGGACTGTTTAGAACCACCTGAGATAGTCAGTGTCCACATATTACTGTTATTGGTACGGCCCATAAACAACAAAGGCCTAACCCTCATTGTACCTACATTAGGGTCCCAGGATACAAGAATTAACCAACAAAAAGTTATTCTCCTACATGGCTGGGAGATACTCCAGTGGACTTGGGAAAATTCACGATGGACACACATTATGATTCTAGAGAGGAGGACAGAGGGGAGAGAAGGAATTTGGAGAAGGGGAGAGCCCACCGCCAATAAAACTGCATCCAAAAAAAAGATATTTATTGCTATTCTTTATACTAGTTATGAAAATTTCTGTTGATGCAGATATGATAATAAAGAAGCAAAATGAAGATATGTTTCACAAATAATTTCCAATTTACATTTATTTTACATACAAGATCTCAAAAGAGTGACAAACTAAAAGACTATGTAACGGTGTAAAAAAGAAAACCATGAAAACAAACAAAGTGTCTACGGCCATACCACCCTGAACACGCCTGATCTTGTCTGAAAACAAAGTGAAATTTCCTCTACATAGCCACCATTCCATGACAACAGTAACATAACATCGTAAAACGAAAATAATAAAATCAAGTTTTAATAGAGTTGGCATTTTAAATAAAACCAATACTCAAAAAGAGCAATAAGACATCAACTGTTTATAAATCAAGCATTGTTTACCACTTTTCTGCTAGTTCTAGGCCCTATCACCTACCAATGGGTTTTTCACCATCAAAAAACATTATCTCATTTTTTAAAAAGTCACTAGTCTCCTACAGCCCTTGAACCTTTTACCCTAATTAGCTATGTAAAGACTGTCAAAATATAATAAAGAAAAGAAAAAGAAAAAGTCACTAGTCTAACAAACTATAGTCAACAAGAACAGTTTCAAAATCAATTTACTAAGAGGGAAAAAATCTTTCCATTTAACACACAAATAACATTTAAGTTATAAACATGAATCTTTTCTATACTGGGCAGGGCAATTTGAAAACCATAGCATCACTTTTTTTTTTTAAGATTTATTTATATTGGAAAGGCAGATACACAGAAAGATCTTCTATCTGTTTGTTCACTCCCTAAGTGACCTCAAAGCCAGAGCTCAGCCAATCCAAAGCCAGGAGCCAGGAGCTTCCTCCAGGTCTCCCATGCAAATGCAGGGTCCCAAGGCTTTGGGCCATCCTCGACTGCTTTTTCAGGCTACAAGCAGGCAGCTGGAAGAAAGTGGAGCACCCAGGACACAAATCAGCACCATATGGGATCCTGGCACATGCAAGGCAAGGACTTCAGCCACTAGGCTATCTCACCAGGTCCAGCATCATGTTTCCTAAATAGTTTTTCCAATTACTTGAGTTGGTCCCTAGGTTCTCCATCTCTCACATCCATTCCTTGCAAGACATAGTAAGGTTTAAAAGTTATCTCAGAAAACACAGTGTTCTTTACATATAGACTTTGTTCAAGTACCAAATAAAGGAAAGGGGAAAATGCGCAAAGTACTACAAACAGAAATATATTATTATCTTTCCCATACCAATCTAAATTAGGGCTGGTCTCAGAACCCTAACCATGAAAAGACAGAAGACAGAACAAGTCAATCAACCACCTCAGCTATATGTTGGCAGTAAAAAAAAAAACTGGGCAAACAGACACTCTATGATGGACTATGTCAATCAGTGAATTCTTCAATGACCTCATCATGCTTGGAGTGGCGAAATCAGCAGCAATTCATAACTATTGAACTATCAAAACCACTTGAGCAAGAATTTCGGAGCATACCCCACATCTGGGACCTGGGGTGGGTAGGAGACTGGGTGGGGCTTCTCCCTCAATATCCCCCTTTACCCCAGATATATGAAGGAAACTATGAAAATAAAAGTCTTACCCACTTTCCTGTAGCCCTTGAACCTTTTTACCCTAATTAACTATGTAAAGATTGTCAAAAATATAATAAAAAATGGAAAAAAAATTAGGGCTGGTTATTACTCC